CTTAACACTTTTTAAAATAAATTGTTTTATTTGGGGTAAAATTGCCCTTCAGTCTTTTCCATTATAATTCTCCAGATGCATCCTTTTCCCCCAATAATACCTGTTGAAATATTGCAGGTGCAGGAGGCAGTACTGAGCAATGCAATAATTGAAAACAAACAAAAATAAACCCTTCCTCTTTCAATAGGTTTCTATTAACTTTGGGCCCTATTTCAAATACCCGCCAAGAGATATTAGTTATCGCCCGGTAAGTTGATGATCAGAATGATGTGTGCCTTTTTTAATGGATGTGATCCAAGGCTTTTTGTGCAAGCAATCTGTAACATTTTCCATGTAAATGAAAATCTCAGTTTCATTGGCCAAATTAATTTTGCTTCTAGTAGGAATGTCATATGCACGTTGGCCCCTGTATAAAATTATACAGATAAAGAAATAATTTTGCCAGGCTAGTGGTGCACTGGCCATGTGCAGTTCCTAAAGGTTATATTCAGTTGGTTGTGCATTTAAGTTGCAGCACCATGGCAGTCGTTCACCCTTACGAACAACCTCCGAGCCACTGCAACATTCGCCTTGCCTATTCTCCCCCCCCCTCCCCAAACTAGGCCTGTGGATACTGAGCTTGCGAAGGTCCAGGGAGCCTTCTGTTTCTTAGCCTGTTTTGGTGGTTCAGGCCTTCAGTACGTTTCACAGAGAATGGAAGCCTAAAGTTTCTCAAGATCACGCAAGATCAGTAGCCTGAGATCTCATGGTATTTTACGCCTCTGTTCTCTGCAAATGGAGGCCTGGACACAATCTGTGGCAAAAGGCTTTGCAAATGGAGGGAAGGCCTGAAACATCAAAGCTTTCCGTCCATTTGCAAAGCCTTTTGCCATTTTTTCCTCTGGGTCTCTGTTTACAGTGGCAGAGGCCTTTCCTCAAGGCCTTTGCTGACAGGAAGGGAGGCCGGGAGGGGAACATGCATCCCTCCCGGCTCAGTTTTCATTGGCAAAGTGCTTGAGTACAAGACTGGGTGCCTGAAGTCCCGTGAGATCAGGCATCCAGAAGCTTCCAGTCTGCACGTGAAAAGTGTTTGCATGCCAACTGGAAGCTTGAAGCAACACGATTTCGCTGCCTCAAACCTCCCTTCAGCATGCAAGCACTTTTCCACCCCGAGCCTGGAAGCCTTTGGAGGAGACATTTATCAGGCTGCCTATCTTGGGAGATACAGCTCTGGGTGGCTAACAGCAGTAATAAAATCACAAGCATAAAATTTCCCAAACAGACAAGAAAAAAATCCAAGCACATTCATCCAGAGTCACTTCTATAAGGGAGACGGCTGGCATAAAAATTTAATAAATAAATCTGTACAAGCCACCAAGCTCCAGCTTTGCTACCCCAAAGGTCAACTGTCAGTGGCTTTCCAGAAAGCTAAGGAAGCAGGATCCTGCCAGATCTCAAGGGCATGGGCCAATATGCAAAAGGCTCTGCAACGTATTACCAGTGTGTTATCACCACTGAAGGCAGAACTCTTTCGAAATGCCTTTGTCCATCCACCAGGAAATGGGTAATAAAGGAGCCATGGTGGCACAGTGGTTTGAATGCAGTATTGCAGGCTAATTCTGCTGACTGCCAGCAGTTTGATCCTGACTGGTCAAGGTTGACTCAGCCTTCCATCCTTCCGAGGTCAGTCAAATGAGGATCCAGATTGTTGGGGGCAAGATGCTGACTGTGTAAACTGCTTGAGGGCTGTAAAGGACTAAAGTGGTATATAAGTCTTAAGTGCTATTACTAATAACAGGGTACCAATCTCACATCCCCTTGAAATCATGTCAAGAATTGTACTGTTCGATTGACTCTTAATATTCTGTTGCAGACTCTTGTTATTCTGTTTTTCAAAGTATGCAGACACAAGCTCAGTCTTAGTCACTTCTTATGTGACTAAGCAACTAACCAAAGCAACTCGCCCTTTTCTCTCCCTTCTTGTAGGTCAGTGACATGGGCTGGGTGGCTGTAGTAGAGCACACACTGGCAGACGTCCTGTATCACGTAGAAACAGAAGTTGACGGAAGGCGCAGTCCACCTTGGGAGCCTTAAAAGATGCGATGTATTTATTTTTTATTTTTTACAAAAAGAAAAAATGGTGGTAGAGGGGAAAAAGTAATAAACGTCTCTTTTTTAAGTTTCTAGATTTGTGCAGCACTTCAGTTTTCCTTTTCATTATTTTTTTCTTCAAATTCTTCCTCCTACAAGCAGAGCAAGCAGTAAGCCAGTGGGCGGCCTCTTTGGGAAAATTGGAAAGGAAGAGTTTCTGTAGGTCTACTGCAAGATAAGCAGAAATATTCTTCTTTCCAAAACAACTCCTTAAAAAATGGAGCTTTCTTAAAAAAAAAAAAAGGTAAAATTGACTTTTTCCAGGTCAAGATCTAGGGATATCACTCAGGTTGAGAACTGAAAGATGCAAACACTGCTATAATCATTCACCCCACCTCTGTTTTCCAATATTTGAGGGGCTGGTACAGAAAAAAAGGGGTCAGCTTATTTTCTAAAACATCAGAAGGCAAGATAATAGAAGACAATAGAAACAATAGATGGAAACTAATCAAGGAGAGAAGCAACCTAGAATTAAGGAGCAATTTCCTAACAATGAGAAGAATTAACCAGTGGAAGGGCTTGCCTTCAGACGTTGAGGGTACTCTATCACTGGAGGCTATGAAGAAGGGACTGGACAGCCACTTGTCTGGAACGGTATAGGGTTTCCTGCTTGAGCAGGAGGTTGGACTAGAAGACCTCCAAGGGTCTTCAGCTCTATTCTGTACATATGTGTGTAAGACAACAATGTCTTGATGGGACAAACCCTGATATGTTTATTACTGCACTTTTTTTTTATTAAAGTGCATTTGCTGTGTGCCAATTTGTAATTTTTAGTTTCAATTTTAGTAAAGAAACAAAACAACACCCACCCACCCCCCAATGTACTAAGTTAAAAGCAAATAGATAAAAAAAAAGAATAGACAAAGGTAATTTGAGAAAAGGGGAAAATATTGCTAATTTAGCTAATAAATTGTGTGCAGTTTTGATTATTTTTCTTTTTAAAGTTCTTTAATTGGGCTAATTTTTCAAGTAATTTCCTACACTTGAAATATGGGGCATATTTAAAAATATGTATTTTAGTTTTCCTATGCTTTGCTAACCTGACAGCTAACAACAGGAGTTGAATTAATCTTTTAATTGCCACTATTTATGGTTTGGAAATAACAATATTGCCCATTCAAAAGGTTCATTGTGATAGATTGTGAGCTGATTTTTTTCTCATTTCAAAAACATCATAGAGGTAATTAAGTGAACACACCAACAATAATAATATCAATTTGTTTCCTAAAGACAATCTAGAAAGTTTGCTAAATACGATACTGTACATTGCAGTTTTGAGAGAATGTGCTATCACCCATAGATTGGATATGAAAATAAGTTTAAAGGGCAACAAGCTTTAAAGCCATTTTATGCCATAAAACATTTCTGTAAGATTGAAGTTTAAATCACAAACTACTATCCCACTGACTAACACTGTTAATGATCTTTAGGAATGACATTCAGACACTGTAGTAAAAAAAAATGTTTGAATTAAGTTATTTGAACTAAGCCGGAATGTGGGGCCAATTCTTTCTTATTGCATTCCAATTCACTAATGGAGAAAAAAGATACAGTAACAAAACCAAATTTTATGAAAAAGGAACAGAATATGATCTTGAAGGTCATATTGAAGTGATGGCAGAAGAAGCATATCTTAAATCTTGGTCGGTGGGAGGGAGGGAGGGATAGATAGGCAGGCAGGCAGGCAGGCAGGTAGACATAATTTTATTAAACTTTTTAAATATAAAATACAAATGAAAATAATGAACAGAGAAATGGGTAAAGGGAAAAAGGAAGCAAAATGTAGAGGAAAAGAAAAAAAAAGTGATTCCAACTTTTTTTTGATCCAATAAATTATATAGTAGAGTTATAATCACTACTTTTACATCTGTACAGTTAGTGAGTATTAGCCATTTCTATAACAGCAACCTATTTGAATCATTAACATCCAAAGTCAAAGTTTCATTTTCTTCTCTTTTGAAGAAGTCTAGAAGCAGTTTCCAAGTGAAAGCAATGCTAGATGTATTCTTCTCCTTAATTAAAATAGTTAACTTTGTTACCTCTTGTCAGTTCTATCACATTTTTCCTTTGGTTTTTATAGTGAAATTTAATTAGATGCAGAGCATGAGATGCTCCTTTGAACAAAGTACACACAACATGCTTTATTTTATTCATTTTTCTTTTTTTATTCATACAGCGTAGATTCATGAAATTATAACCACAAAGCTGCTGCTTTGTTAGATTTAAAGCACTAATTTTAATTTGTAGCTACATCTTTGCATTGCTCAGATCATGGAAAATACTTTTTCATGTACGTTAAAATGCTTACGGGTAGTCCTTGACTTACAACAATCCATTTAGTGACCATTTGAAGTTACAATGGCGCTGAAAAAAATGTCTTATGACCATTTCCCACACTTAACGACTGCTGCAGCATCCCCATGGTCACCTATTCAAAATTTGGATGCTTGGTAACTGGTTCATATTTATGATAATTACAGTGTCCTGGGCAGTGGTGAGATTCAAATGTTTTTACTACCAGTTCTGTGGGCGTGGCTTGGCAGGGGAAGGATACTGCAAAATATCCAGTCAGAGGTGGCATTTGCTGGTTCTCCGAACTACTCAGAATTTCTGCTACCGGTTCTCCAGAACTGGTCAGAACCTGCTGAATACCACCTCTGCTCCTGGGTCATGTGATTCCCTTTTGCGACCTTCTCACAAATGAAGTCAATGGGGAAGCCAGATTAACTTAATACCCGTGTTACTAACTTACTAACTTAAGTGATCCATTTAACAACTGTGGCAAGAAAGGTCGTAAAATGGAGCAAAACTCCCATAACCAATGGCTCGCTTAGAACAGAAATGTTGAGGTCAGTTGTGGTTGTAAGTCAAGGACTACCTGTACTATAGTGTTAGTACACCGGATTCTCCATACATTTCAAGATAGGTTGGTTGATTGGTTGAAGTCATGAAAACTATGAATCGGAAACACTTCACAAATCTTAACTAGAATAAATAATTAAATAAAATGCCTTTGCAAACAAGGGGGAGGGAAAATAAATATTGACAGGCTGGATTTCATAGATGGCTGTGGGAAAGACTTCTTGGTTTGATTTAACCTTGCTAGTGACTCCTGGAGTTAAAAGCCAAATGAAGTCATAGTAGATGCTCCTTAACACTTAAAACATGGGTTTTTAACATTTTAACTAGCATTCATCCTTTTCTTTCCTCCAACAAGCTGAGTAAAGACCAATCTCTGATGTAGAAGTTTGTTGTGGGTTCAGATTCCCCACTGGTGATAAACTGGTAGAGTGGAGAAAAGGGCAACATATGGAGGGAATTAGAATAAAGCTATCATTTTATCTGCTACAGATGCTGAATTAGATTTTTGAATTGTTGGTAATAAACGGTAGCACAATTATGGTTTTCTAGTAACAGCCATTCCCCCCCCAAAAAATCCTCTTTGCTATTAAAATAGTGCAGAACAGACTTTTTCAGATTCATTACAAGCAGAGACAAAGCTTCTGCAATATATAATAAGGGTGGAATAAGCAGAGTTACTTAGCAAGTAAACAGCAGTGTTGCAAATCCTTGAAACAGAGTGTGCTTTTTATTGTGAACTTTTGGAGGGCATAATTGTTATGTGGCTTTTAAAACGTAAGCTACCATCAGCTCTGGTGTTTAGTGATGTTATCAGACAAGGACTATCTACCAGTTTTGGTTGATCTGGGGGAAAAACAAGTAACTTTTCACCCTTCCTTTTAGACTAAAGTTCAGACAAAATTGGGTAGCATGTTTGAAAAACCTAGGCAGAGCTGACATCAAGAGTGAGCAACAATGTGTATCTATCCCAGTGTTTTTCAAACTCCATACTGGCTGACAAATTCTAGGAGTTGAAGTCCACATAGCTTAAAGTTGCCAAGATTAAAAAATACTTATCTATTTTACTTGTCAAGAATGGGTGGATTGTCTTCATTGCTAATCTTTGGAACTTCCCAGTTTATCTATCTTCAAAGAAGAAAATAGGAACAGGTGGAAAACAATAAGTGATTGGTTTCTTGGGCCTTCAAAGGGCAGCAAACAAATCAGGCAGAAGATGGATATGATGAGACAGATCCACTTTCCAACAACAATTAGGCATTGACCATAATTTAATACTATGCATAGTCTCCATTCCCATGTCACTCTTAAATTGAATCCATGAAGGCTTAGTGTTCCATAAAAGCATCAAAAGAACATTAGTTGACCAGATCAACCAATGGAGTTACTTTAAACTTAGCTCTAAATAAAGCCAATATTGCAGAGTTCAAAGTATATCATGGGAACTAGTGACCCTTGAATTAATCCTTAACCTTTCCCAAGATTTAGGAGCCACATCATGGTAGTCAAAAACAGAAGGGGAAAGAAGGCAGGTGGAGCATCCGTCTGAATCTTCCATTGGTAGTGGCATCCTGGCTTGGAAAAAGGAGGTTGTAAATGATGGGAAAGGACATAACAGCTAACTTTGTAACACCTAGGGGGGATTGTAAAAATAGCTGCAGTGATACAACCCCAGCTGATCATCTGCTGCCAAATTGGGATGAGTCAAGTGACTAAGAGAAGGTGATCAGCAGCATCTTTTAACTAAGATATCACTCTGGATATGATACTTCTTTCTGTAAAAGTATTTTGGAGCAGCCTTTCTGCAGGTCAGACTAACTGTCCACCTAGCACCGCTTATTGGCATAATTCTCCAAATCCTTTTGCAAAGCTCCTTCTCATCTCTTGGTTCCTGTCAGTTGCTTTGAAATGAAGAGGTTACAGGTCAAACCTGGCACGTTATCAGTAAGTAGCCAAGGTAGGTTAACCTACTCTAAGCACACTGAATACTAAACCAAGTATAGAGAGCCAGTGTAGTATTGTCCAGGTGAAACAGTAATCTGTTCATCAAAGATGCTGGTTCTTTCCTCTCTTAGTCTTGAACTCTAGTTGTATTCTATTGTAGCCTATAACGTAGGCTCCAGCAGCCTTCTCAATATAGTTTATCTTGCCTTATGTATTTCAGAATTTAGACGTTGATAAGAAATAAGATGCAACATGTTGCCCATCAAGCAATTGCTAGCCTTTTGAATCCCAGCAAACTACATGGTTGATGCCACCATTGATATCACTTGGTATCACCTTCAGTGCCTGCTATACCTAAGCCAGATACCTTATTCTGCCAGAGTCCTGAACACAAGCTTTGTGCAGCTCTTTCTAAGGGGAGGCTCTTAAACATAAGGATGCAACCTAAAGGAAAGAAGTCTGCCTCTTAGCAGGAGAGAGTGGTAAGCATCAATTCTCTGGGATTGTCTTCAGTATTCAGTCTGATTGGCTGGAGTGGCTGGAGTCAGAGCATCATCCAGGAACAATTGCCAGCAAGGAACATTTCTTTTAGCATCTGAGGGCTTGTGCAGATATAGAGTTGGTCAAACGATTCCGGAGGTGGTTAGCAAAATCCATTTGGGTTTGAGAAAGAACTTGGTTGATCAGTGTCTTTGGAAGCCATCCCTGGAATTAAAAAATAAATAAATAGTGGGGATGTTAAACCAGGTTGCTATGCAATTATAAGTAGACTTAAGCTCCATGTCAAGAAAAAGAAACTTAGTAGTTCAGTAGCTTCTGGAGAGCTGCAATTTGGGGGCTATAAATTTTGTAAATTTATTAAGCCTGCATTAAGGAGTTATGTTTCTGGCCTCAAATTTGCTACTGGTAAGTTTCAATTATGAAAACAGAAGTTGATTTCTTCGCCAATTCTCTATGTACACATTTAACATGGAAGTGTTTTTATAAAAGTAATGTTCACCATAATTTAACCTGGTTTGCGCTATATCTTTACCTTTAAATCAATGCTGAGAAGCCAAGTTAACTTGGTTTGTGAGGGATTTCCTAGAACTGGACGAAGAACCATGCATGTGGGACCATTTTCCGCTCTGCAGTAAAGAAAACAATAGTTAAGCAGAGGCCCAAGAACAACATGGAATAACCCAGCCAAAGTTCAGTTCTTTATATGCTTACATTCAACAGACAGAATCTTGCCAGATTAAACCCTTACTACTTACAGCCAGGGGTGAGTTTCTACCGGTTCTGTCCACCTCTGTAGAACTGGTTGCTCCGAAGAGCAGCCGATATAGAACCAGTTGTATGCTGCTGTTGTGGCCCACCCGCCCGCCCGGGCTCTTACCTTTATTTCCTGCTTTTTCAACTGCACCTGCTTTGCGGGACACAGCTACAGTTGAAAAAGCAGGAAAAAAGGGCTTTTCCAACTACTGCGCACTTGCACGCAGCACTGCTCAGCTGTCCAGGCAGCTCAGCAGGTTGTAAATTGAACTCGCACGACTTGCGCATGCAACGCTAATAGACAGAACCGGTAGTTATACCAGTCGGATCCCATCCCTGCTTACAGCCTAATGGATATATCCTGGGAGAGTTTAGGGAGTGGCTATCCTTTCTCCCTCTGTCTTTGATCCAGCTCTGGACTGCATTGCTTCTTGTCTTGCCCCCTCCCTCCTTGAATGTGCTCCTTTCTTCCTGGGAAACTACCATTTTATTAAAGTCCATCACATCACCTCCCTCTCCATTGACACCATCCCTCACATCATCATGTCATAGCTTATTTAACCCATTGGCTAAGAGAAGATGTCAGATATCTCATCAGTAACTATATTAGGTCTTAGGGGTAGCGTTTCTCACCCTGCTCTCTACACGTGTTGGGTTACAACTGTAATTTTCTTTACTGAGGCAAGTTCTGATACAACTTTAGCTGGAAGGACTAGATTTGGGCATCTGTTCTGTAACTGAACTATGTAATTTAAGTAAAGGCAAGAGATACCTGATAACTCCTTTTTGTTCCGGCATGGCGGCATAGGTGGTTGACATGCCAGCTAAGAGGCATGTAGAGCCACGCCGTTTGGAACACCGGACACTGACAAAGTCTCGTGGACCAATTACGTTGCCAGGAGTTGCTGCTGAGGTTTCATGAGTGATCACGGTGTCTTTGCCAATCTTCTGGAGAATCTATGTAAATATGGCCATTTAAATAATAATAATAATAATAATAATAATAATAATAATAATAATAATAA